CCATCCTAACTGGTGTGAAGTGATATCTCATTGTGGTTTTTTGTTTGCATTTCCCTGATAATTAGTGATGTGGAGCATCTTTTCATGTGTGTGAGAGAAATTAAAGAGGATACCAATAAATGGAAACACATTCCGTGCTCATGGAAAGGAAAAATTAATATTGTCAAAATGGCCATCCTGCCTAAAGCAATTCACAGATTCAATGCAATTCTTATCAAAATACCAAAGGCATTCTTCACCAAACTAGAGAAAATCATTCTAAAATTCATATGGAACCACAAAAGACCCTGAATAGCCAAAGCAATCCTGAAAAGGAAGAATAAAGCTGGGGAGATTATGCTCTCTGAATTCAAGCTCTACTACAAAGCCACAATAATCAAGACAATTTGGTACTGGCACAAGAACAGATCCATAGACCAATGGAACATACTAGAGAACCCAGATATAAATCCAAGCATATATAGTTAATTAATATATGATAAAGGAGCCATGGATATACAATGGGAAAATGACAGCCTCTTCAACAGCTTCTGTTGGCAAAACTGTACAGCTACATGCAAGAGAATGAAACTGGATTATTGTTTAACCCATACACAAAAGTGAACTCAAAATGGATCAAAGATCTGAATGTAAGTGAGGAAACCATGAAACTCTTAGAAGACAACATAGGCAAGAATTTCCTGAATATAAACACAAGCAACTTTTCCTGAATGCATCTCCTCAAGTAAGGGAAAGAAAAGCTAAAATGACCACATGGGATTACATCAAACTAAAAAGCTTCTATAAGCAAAGGACACCATCAACAGAACAAAAAGACATCCTACAGTATGGGAGAATATATTTGTAAATGACATATCTGACAAGGGGTTAACATCTGAAATACATAAATAATTCACATGCCTCAACAACCAAAAAGCAAATGACCCAATTATAAAATGGGCTGAACGTATGAGCATATGCACAGACAATTCTCCAAAGAAGAAATTCAGTTGTGATAATTCTGACATGGACTGACATTTTTAAAATACTGGTGACATTATAAAGCTTAAAAAAAAACAGTTAAGTGTATTATTTGTGTTTAGAAACAACAATTCTAATGAGGTAAATAATTTTGCAATGTTTGATTTAATTCTTAAGCTTCAAAGGATAAACATTTTTCTATGTAAATTTTGAATAAAAACTATGTTTTATACCTTTGATGAAGTAGACAAATATTTAAATATTGAGCATAACTGGCTGGATATAAGGTAAAACTTCAGGATGTATCATATTATAATTTAACCCATACACTGACTGAAAAATTACTATTCAGTTAATCATTTTTATAATATTATCAAAGTACTTTGTTCATAAAATGAAATCAAATATTTTGTTTTCAATTTTATCATTTTACATATAGAAGAAAGTGGTATCCTCAGGACAGATTAATTTCTTAAAATAGCAATAAATATAAGTTAAATTCTGTCATCATAAATGTTAAAGTAATAATATTAAATCAGAATATGTAAAAGCATCAATATATTCAATAAATATTAATGATGATAAATTATTCTGAAATTTTGAGGGTTACATTCAAAATTTTAAAAATAAGTTAGTTTCCTAAACTCTATAACTTTTAATAACATCCATGGAGAGAAAGAGTTAAGAGTATTAATTGCTGACTATGCAATATATAATAATATATAATATCTTCATGCAAAGGTTTTGAAGGAATAGGTTATAA